GTACTGCACGCTTTATTAGAACCCCCCTTTGGTTCCGACGATGACGTACCAACAGTTTCGGTTATTGGAATTAGCAATTGGAGATTAGATAATAATAAATCTAGTAGAGCACTATTGGTTCAGCGCCCTCTCTTTACTGAAAATGACCTGGTTGATACTACAAGACGTATGTTTGGTCACATCAGGGATTTTAATAATGTCGACATCAGTTATTTTTTGAGGAGACTCGCGGAATCATATCTTTGCGACATAAATAATCAGAAATACCCCAATTTTCATGGTAATCTAAATTCTATAATCTTAGCAACAACCATTACACATTTTTAATCTATTTTCTTATTTCAACTCCAGGACTTCAGATTATTATTCTCTCGTAAAAAGCATAAGAAACATGAACACCAAGAAGGTATGCAAATATTCTTATATGGTAAATAATAGATGTCTTATAATTAACTTTTCGCCTTCTTTAGCCAAATATCCAACTAGCGCTAGCTCGAAATTTTGGAGGAACCGATCAAATGGAAGATCTGTGTTGCCTCTACTTTCAACAGGTCTTGAAGCCGCTACATAAACAAAGATTCACTTATATCCCGATACCAGTTCAAGATCTTATCAATGCAAATCTCACAGAAAAGGGCGCTCGAAACCTCATGCTCATTGGTAATAGTAATTCAGTCGTCACCCTTCAAGATTATAAGCTTCGTCAACAAAATATAGAACCGATTGTGATTATTGGATCACAATTTCCTGATGATAAGGATGGCGGGGAATATTCCTATGTTACTCTTAACCGCATAATGGTATGACATAAGGTATCATATTTTAAAATTGATTAAGCCAAATCAAAAACGAATAAATTTCATCTTTGACAAAGATGTGCGTGGAAACAGGCAGACACCTGATATTGACAGACCTTGAAATTATTTATGGTATGAAATTCCCCCTTTATCTTCCATTAGCTGCATCTTTCTCGTTAAAAACTAAAGTTTTATTGTGCAGGATCTCTTTATAATCTATTCAATCAGAATTTTCTAACAGACGAAAATTTTGACTATGAGGATGATGATGATTCAAGTAATAAAAATGCAAAAAGAAACTACACCAGAATTAGCCTAGGCCCGCATTCTAATCCACTGTTATATGGTAATTGTTTTTAAGTTTCTTTAAATAACAAATTGCTTCATCGTAATAACTTATTGTGATTAAATGTTTCTTTATATACTGTAGTTCATCCGAACTTCAGGCATATTTCCTTTTGTTTATTTATTTATGATTGTCGTATGAAAAAATGGTTTCTTACCTTTCCTCGTCAAAATTAATAGATGCATTTTAGTGCTAGATGAGGCCAAACTTCCGTTTACTGATCCAACTCTCCTGAACCGCTTCGAAAAACAAAAAATAACGCTTGACGAAACTCTGAATGAACGAGAATCAAACATCTTTAACATAATAAAAGAGTGGGCACGTCAAATTTCGACTATTTATGACTATTAAAAGAATTATTATTTTAATGAAAAAGATTTTTTTTTTTGGATTCACACCGGAAGAGACGCTGCAAAGTCTAATCGTGAATCAGTGTGGAAAAAAGTCCGAATCCGACGATGACACGATCATTCATTCCTGTAAGGAGGCCTTAATTTCAATCGCAATTTCCGATGGTATTTTAAGAGCCGAGAAATCTATTTTAAAAATTGGTAATGCTCAAGAGGTAAAAAACTGGCAAGATGTCTATTTCCGGATCCAACAGCATGGCAGTATTAGAGAGTTTTATCGCACGCTGCTGGATGACAACAATCCCCTGAATAGCAATTTAACAATCATAAATACCTTTTCTAATATTAACACTAATATTAAATTATGCCTAAAAAATGTTATCAACTGTCAAGTCGATAAACTGTCAACGTTTAAATCCGAAGCTGTCCTTCAAAATCAGATCAAACGTTTTTACGAGTCCGAAAATGATTTATATATTCTGCAATGTGATCTTTCAACTGTAAACGCGGGGTGCATTAGACTGGCGAAGTTTATAATCGACCAATTTAGAAATAAACCTTCAGATGTCAGCAAATCAGTAAAGCATGCATGCATAATTCTTCATTCTAATAGGAATTATGATAAAGAAAAAACAAATTTATTTAATTTCATGTGCGGCTGGAACCAGATTACAATTGAAGACTTGGATACGTCAGAAAGCTCACTTTCTCGATTTCTTCATTCGACAATTGGCGAAATTTTAAACGAAAGATTTGAACAGATTTTAAGTCAAGAACTTCTATGGTGCTTGCTTTGCATGAAGCATCCTTCTTCAAGAAAGTCGGTGGGGCACATCAGGTTAATGTAGCAAACATAACGTGAATATAATATTTTTTTTATTGTCAGTTAATTAACAATTAATATATTTATTATCTTAGAAAATTGGTACACGAGATTCCAAAATGCACGAAACTGGTCGATTGTTTGAGATTACGTACAAATGATTGGTTATGCGCTATTTCTTCAGATCAGTGGCAGTTGGATATAGCCTTAGATGAAAAGTCATCAATATTACACTCTACTTATTCCGTGGCTCTAGAGATGTACTTGAATACCTTAATTCGAAAACCTATTGCTAAATTGCTTTATGTCCTAGAGCGCCATCATGCAATAATGTTTCTTTTTTCATGGGACCAAGAAAATGATGAATATGATTTGTTCACATTTTGGAAACATATTTTCATGGACAAAAAGATTGTAAATATCGACGATATGATTATGGATCCACGGCCAAACCTATACATTGTCTCGGGCAATTATTTTAGCCTCAAATTTCCTTTCTCTCATTATTTTATGAAACAAATAGATCAATATAAGAAGCTTTATTACGAGGAACTAGATCTCATGTACGAAAATCCCGAAAATTTAGATAAAGATGCAAACCTAATCCCAGGGATCTTAATCCAATTTCTTGATAGGTTTGCTGATACTATCCGTGCAGCGATCACGATGTTGACATCAGACATTGTGCAATTTGCTGGAAACCTGTACTTGGATGATTTTGTCATAATTTCCTCCTCAAATGCGGGATATTCACAAGAGTCAGACGCCAAATTATTACATTTTCTTTTAAGTCTTTCATGTGAAGGCGATGTGTTAAACGATCCAATTAGATTGCACATGTTTTGGTGGAAAAATTCTGACGCCATTATCTCTGAATTAGAATTGGCCCGAATGTGCCCTTCGATTATAGAACTTTATAATGAAGATCACAAAAAAGATGATAACTTCGGGAGTTATTTAATAGATAAAGTATGCAGAATAATGATTGAGAAACTCATTAAACTGGGAACTCCAAACGAAGACAAGAATCAAGTTTCGGATGATATCTTTAATGATCATAAAGTCGCGGACGATAACTTTAATGAAGCTGCGAACGATGATGAAGTTGAAAATGATATCAATAGTGAATTTATAAGCGACGATAGTAATGAACTCAGAAACAATGACGATAAGGATAAAAATAATATAGACATGAAAGAGGTCAAAGTCATAGCTTTTCTTTATGAATGGCGACGTCGAATAGTCAGTATCTTATCATTTTGTGCCAACATTGAAGGTTCCTCGGAGTTAATACTTCTGCAATTTTTACGTATATGCAATGATCTGGTCTCCTCTGAGTCGATCGATCTTTTGGATATTGTCAACGCTCTCCATCTCACAAAAGGAATAAACTCTAAAAACTTTCTTTCACGAGAATTTATCGATTATATTTTAGAGCTTTTAAATAGAATCACCATTACAGAGCGAAATATAACTTTACATTGTTCGTTCCTTCGACGATGTCTTGACATAGTTCCGCTCGATTCCCCGGTACGTTTTCACCTTTATGAAATAATTTTCAGACCAGAATCACGACCACTTTTTGGCTCCGTCATATCGCGTGCTTTGATTCCCGAGGAAGATTCTATTCCTCTATTATTACAAAACACACCAGAAACTTTAGTTCGCTCTCCTAATCTAAATGCTATCAACAGTGCTCTTAAGAGAAACGAGGTTGATGCCCCAATATATGCTTTATGTTGCGACGTATTACAATATAATTTCTTTACCTCATACACATTTGAGGAATTGGTTGATGGCTTTAGAGATGCGATTGATATCTTATGCAGCGGGAATTTCGAACCCCTACAATTAATTCTAGCCGTCACCTTGCTCAAAAAATTTTTAAATGTTTTTTGGAAGTCATTAGTATCGATTAAGGATGCTGTGAAAGAACCTTTAAAGTTTGAGGATGAGTCATTTGATGATATGGATGTGGAGAACATAATTGATATGATTAATCAAGCTATGGAGCGTCCGTCGCCCTTCATTCGCTCATTAAGGTTATATTTTCTTCGTGATCTGTATGCCAAAGTACTTTCACTATTTGAAATCAAATGTTTTTGTGGAGTGCAGTATAGGACATTTTCGTGGTTAAGAGATTTCGAATGGAGTGATGAAGAAAACAGAATAGGCCTTATACCTTACCGCTATTTTACTCATTATAATGAGGCGGAAGAGGCATTCACTCCATTACTTGAACGCGGTCAACAAACTCAAGCTATGAATTTTTTAAATCAAGTTTCAAACGATGAATCAATGGATCTAAAGATGTCTTTAATGGGTGTTGTGATCTCTCGTCTATACATCATACGCTCCTTGCGTGAGCTGCGTCCAAATGAAGCGAATGCAATTAAATGGCTACGTACTCAATCGAATAACATACAATTTGACAACTTTTATCGATATACATTGTTGATTCTTACCAGGAACGAACATAAGCTTTATCATGTTTCCCCAGAAACAAGTCAGACAGAGTTACTTGTTCGATCAGTTATTGTTAATATCATCGCTCTTCATTCTTGTCTTCCCACAACGAATTCTCCGTTAGTTGCATATCTACGAACTCTGGAGACCTGCAATGATACATATATATTGGCATCTAGCGCAGACATTGACGCAAAAATCCCTATTAAAATTGACACATCTCATAGTAAATTTACGTGGTATGTATTTTTCAATTTATAAAATTTCAATTAATAGATTTAATCTTTTAAATTAAACTTTCTTAAATAGCTATGAGTGTGATTTTAAGTATATCGTTGCCGAATGTGGCAGCACGCGAGACGAAGGGACTTGTCCTCGATGTCATTGTTTAGTTAGCCCTGGCGACAAGAGTATCGGTGCTGAAGCGATTCATGAAAATGAAGAGACGGAAGTAAAATTGGGCTATGTCTACGAATCTATCGAAAGTAGAAAGGATAGTGACTTCAGTCTTAGAAATATGACTCCAGTATCCTATCGCATCTTACATCTTTTCGTGCATGTGCTTATCGCTGCCAATTCGCAGAAAGATTGTTGGGATTTTTTTAATAATCAACAGGACCAAGTAATTATTCGAAACCCTTTGGATTATTGCAAGGAGCATATAGATAATGATTGGAGTATATTAGCGCGTTTGCTTGGTTGTAACGACGAAACGTTAGCATTAGTATTCCATTCTATTCTTTCCTCCATGGCAGAAGGTCAAATCATAACGATAGCAAGATTGGATACAGTAGAAAAAAGACGTCATTGGGAATATGAATTCACCCAACGCTACGTAACTCCAAAAGTATCTAATGCTCACGGTACCGCTGCAGAATTTAAAGGGCGAGTAAAAAACGTTGATCATACGCTCGAAAGTGAAATTGATGAGACGATAGAGGTTACGGAGGAATATCGGCTAAAATTTCATCCAAGAATATGGCGAAGAGTAGTCGAAACAAGTTTTGAAGGGTTTCGGGCTTATTGTATGGGATATCAAAATTTTACCACTGAGTTTCCGTTTCTATCGCTATTCCTTAAATATCAAAGTCAATTATCACTATTAAAGAATCTCACACCAATCGTAGAATTCGCGCGGATTCTTTCTTCAAAATTAAATTATCGGTTGAAAAGGGCGGATGCCCGTATCCTCACGTTCGAACAGTTTCTAAAAAACGAAGCTCAATCTACAGAAAACCTTAAAGAAGCTTTCGAAAATTTTATTGTTGCATGGAATTCTGTTAGAGAACACATTACAGGATATGAATCTCATGAGTTTGCCAGCCCAATGCCTGAAATGGCCGGAAGTCTTCCGTTAGTATATGCGCTGATTGATTTGAGAGATGAATCATTATATATATGTGGAGCAATAGATTATCTAGTAAATTTACATAATAACTTTTTACAACATGTCTTAACTATCGAACCAGGTTGTGCTTCGCTAAGATTTGTGGAGCAGGGGCAACTTTCAAATACCAATGCCGCCATTAATCAGGGTCAATATTATATAGAAACAATGTCGCTTTCGGAAGCTCGCAATATTCATTTGATGGGCTACGAATGGAATCAATTACTTGAATTACTTACCTACAGCCAACGTGATCTTAGACTTGGTCATGGACAAGAAATTAAATACGATTTATATAAAATTGAAGCAAAGTTAGCGTATTATTTGATATTCAATAAAGTCCATCTAAATAAAAGCAATGAAAAATTCTGGCTAGACTTATTTTCGTATCATCTTGAACTATTTTCAAGCTCTCGAACAATCATTAGCGAAATAAAAAAACTAATTCCCCAGGAGACGGTTCCTACTGAAAAACTTGGATCTTTTGTCGTGACCACATACTCACCTACGAATATAGGAACCAACGTTACTTTGGTTTTCGAAAATCCTACTAAACTCTTATCTGAATTCGAAGTTCTGCTTTGTTTTTTGGAAAGAACTTTGGGCGGAAATCTTAACACAAAAATTACCGATTATATCGATAAATGGATGAAATTGGTGGTGTTAAAGGAGAACGATCGTTTCCATAGAATGATTAACGGATTACGATTGAAACATGTAGTATCTTTATATGAATTTGTTGAAGAAAAGGTAGCAGATGAGGAAATCGAATATCTCTCCGAAAAATATAAAGCTAAGCTAACAAAGCAATTACAAGACGAAATCATTGACTGTGTTGATTTTGAACAATCGTATGGTATTGGTGGGAGTGATATCAGGAAACTTAGAATTCCGCATGATGCATTTGCTATTGCATTGAAACGATTCATGTTCCGTTATTTGTTATCTGAAATAATTACCGAGAAATACAACCTTGCAGATTACCTCGCCGGAGAGATATTAATCGACTGCTGGCCATCTTTTGTGCCCGACGATGTTATTCGTGATAAATTTCCGAAATTTTTATTGGTTGCAAATATTTACGAAGCGTACAGATATACAATAAAACAGATACAGGTAAGAATATTTATTGTCTTTTCTGTGAGGAATACTTTGGTGTTACCCTTGTTTTAATATCTAGGAGATGAATAAAGCGGAATCAAAGACTCGTATGGTTAGGAAAAAGAGAAATACACGTAAGCTTAAAGAAATATTTTAACCAATCTAAAAGCTTTATGCCACAATCTGTTTAGAAAATCCGTACAGTAGCTCGTTCAATTCGCATCCAACAGTTCTGACTTTAATAAACCAAGTCTTATTGAAATGAAATATTATCAGACAACTTCATTATTATTAATCATAAAATTTATTTTATCTAAACAAACCTTTTTATGGATGTTTTAATTAAATAAGCCATTCAGCTCTCTGCTATAATATTTTTAAATATGCAGCATCTAACAGGATTCAAGATTTATAAAAGAAATCAAATATTATATTCCTGTTAGTTACCAATAATAATGATCATATAATGTTACCAAAAATTTAAATTAGACTAAAAATAAAATGCAAAACGTTTTGCCTTTTTACGTTTTATTATAATTTAACAAATAATAATTTAATCAAAATAAAATTTTTAATATGCAGTATATAATTTATAATTTATAAATAAATTCATCTAAAGTCAAAAAAATAATTAAAACTATATTTTTTTAAATTTTTATAATAAATTTATATATAATGATCAATGAATAAAATTTTTACCGTAATAATTTTTTTGATTCTTATATAAATTCAAAAGTTCAAAAATGGTAATTTAATATTAGATTAGTATATATATACCGTATATATATATATATTTACTAAATTTAAACAAAATTATATAAATATAACAGTTTATTATATATATATATATTTATTTATTTTAAAATTTATTTATTAAAATAATTTTATTTCTTATTGAAATCAATATTTAAAAAAGTTTTGTGTTTTAAATTACAATTAATAAAATTTTATATAATTTATTAAATTTTGTTAGGTAATTATTAAAGCATAAATAAAAATAGAAATAAATTAAGGATAAAAATTTTTGTCCAAACTGTATAATACTATATAATAAATTAAAATTTACAATTAATATATTTTAAGTTATTACACATACAATATATAACTTTGGAGGATATTTTGATTAAAAATACTTCTATGATACACTATATATTTTTGAAACAATATTTTATTATCTCATGAAATATTCTATTCATATAGCAAAATTTATAATACTTGAATATATAAACTTGACTTGCGTTTTTTAAATTTTTGCAATACAAAATTGTAATAAAATTTAAAATACGTAAATGCATTATATTTGCTTATATTGAATACTTGTCTTGTTTGCTTAATTTATAAAGTCTACGAATTTTTACAAAAAAAAAAAAAAAAATTTTTTATATAATTATTATGAATTTTTCCTTAAGTCTCCTTATATTTTTATATTTTACACCTCTACAAGCTAACATTATTTTTTTAATTTCCATTATGTATATTTATAATATTAATATAATAATGAATATACAGCAGTAAAATGTCTCCTATTTTCACAAATACTGTAAGCTTAATAATATCAGAAGTTCTAATAGTGCATACTCGGAAGTATAAATTATCCACCAAGAAATTTATTGCTCCGGAGTTCTACATAAATTTTATAGTCTTTTGACTAATCTCTTAATTCCGAATATCTTGTGTAATTGCGAATATGCAAAAAGAAAGAATGAAAATAAAAGAACGTGTGCACGTATAAGGTATTAAGGAATTATATAAGGTCTGCAGAATATTATAATTGATTTTTTCGCATAATTTAAGCACAATAATATTTTTATATTTTACATAGCGATTATATCTTGATTTTTCGAATTATCAATGATTTTCTTCAATGCAGCTATAATTACTGCTACTTTGTCTTTTGAGAAGTTATCATCGTTTCCGTAGTTCTGCATGTGATCCGTAGCAAAGGCTGTGCAATTTATAGGACAAGGATTCTGATGAATCATAATATTTTTCATTCTTCATTATAAATAATTTATGTTTAAAACACAATTGTCCTGAATCAAGGTCAATCTTCGTACTAAATAAATAATAAAATTTTTTGTTGCAATAGCTTTCTAATCCATCATTGATTTAATAAGATTTATTAATCAAATTCTACAAGTAAATGTCTACAAATTTACGATTGACCCTTTACTATTGCTAGTACAAAAATAATTTACTACTATTGCATTGTTATAAATAGACTTGATATTGGTATTGATGAAGACATTTAAAAGATTTTGTTACCTTAATAGGTTAGAGATGTTTCAGAAGTAAAAATTCGGATCGTTTTCTCCAACTCAGCTTCTGCCTTTTGATTATTAGAGTTAACTTTCAGAGCTTTTTTAAAATTATCGATGGCCTCTCTGTACTCCTTGAATTTAAATTTTATCAAACCTCGATAATAAAATGCATCAGATTGTTCAAATTCGTCCAGTTAAACTTCAGGAACAAACCCATCAGCAGTGTCTAAATCTATAAATGCCTGTTCATAACGATCGGTATAAAAATAAAGTATTCCACGAAACCAATGCATCCACGGTTCACTTTCTTCTAGTTCAATTGCTTTATCTAAATCATTTTCAGCTTGTTCATACATGTTTAACTTAATATAAACTGCGCCACGATACCCATATACAAAATAATTATCTGGGTCTTTATCAATTGCTATTTGAAAGTCGTCCAATGCCTCTTCATATCTTCCAAGCTGGTATAAAGTGGATCCACGGATTTCAATTGTATAATGATAATTGGGATCGATCGACAATGCTTTGTTCAAATCCTCCATAGACTCTTGATACATTCCAAGGTTACGAAAGATGTTTCCTCTTGCTGCCAAAATAACTACATCCTCTGGTTCAATTTCTAAAACCTTACTGAAGTCAATAAGAGAATATTCGTAGTTTCTCATTTTCCAATGAACATAACCACGAATTATCCGTGCGTTAAAATAATTCGGGTCAATCTCTAGCGCTTTATCGAATTCCGATATGGCTTCCAAAAATTTTTTCTGACTTATATAAAGGTCACCACGAATTTTATACGCCCTTGCATCATCAGGTCGTATTTCTATTGCGAGATTTATGTCTGCAAGTGATTCATCAAATAGATTCATCGTTTGATATATAATGCTCCTATTCAGCAGTGCGGCAGTATTGTCTGGTTTTAGCTCCAATATCTTATTTAAATCAGAGAGAAAATCATTGCTTCGACCCATTGCCAGGTAAGTTTCACCACGAGAGAAGAGAGAGAATATACTATTCGGTTCGATCTCCAGGAATTTATTAAAATCTGCGAGCGCCTCTTCATGCTGACCTAACAATCGGTAAGATTCCCCCCTATTTTTAAGTGCGAATGAATTGTTTGGTTGCAATTCTAATGCTCGGCTTAAATCCGCTATAGATTCTTCGTATAGTTCAAGACATCGGAAAGTACTCCCACGAGATCTCAATGCAAATGAGCTGTTGGGATTTATCATCAATGCTTTATTCAAATCAGCAACTGCGTCTTCATATCTGTCCATTATTCTATAAGTCTCGCCTCGATTCTCTAATGCAGATTCATCATCTGGTTCAAGCTGAAGTGCTGCACTAAAATCCTCAAGAGATTCTTCATTTTGATTTAACATGCGATAGACAATACCACGTGCAATAAGGGCTGGTGTGTTACTAGGATTAACCAACAAAACAAAATTAAGTATTCTTAATTCTTCTCTATTCTCTCATATAAAATTGTTTTTTATCTGCTCTTCTAATTTTGAATCAAAGAAATTGTTGATGTATCCCTCAGACAATAATTTACCGTAGAAAGCTTTTAATATGTGAGCCTGACTAAGTCTGAATGTATTTTCCTCTGCAATCTCGGTTCTACATATTGGACACTTGGAGGTTCTTTCGGATAACCTTTCAACCATACTCCATTTTTCGCATGCAAACTGACTAATTGAATGTCCACATGCCAAGACCACGAAATCACATGTTACATCATATGTTATTGGACATGTGAAATAATCTGTCACCATCGATAACAAGGGTAAATTTTCTGAATCATCCAAGCTAACGTTTAATCTTTCATTATTATGAAAATTTCGCAAAAATACCGCATGTTTCTTAAATTCTTGAATAGATGGCGATATTTTATTATCCTCGACGAATCTTTCCAGTTCTTTGGAAAAAAAACCTGAACAAAGATTTTCCAAAGAATATATTAACTCCAAAGATTTGAATTTAACAAATTTACCGTGGAATTTTTGTAATAATTCCAACCCGAAATAATAGCAAAATACCAATATGACTTTTTGTGATATCCTATAACTTAAATCTTTCGCAAAATCCAGTAACCCAAAATACAAAATATCAGGCAAGTCAAATTTCTCGGGACTATGCAAGGCCTTCAGGAATTCGTTAGTATTATCTAAAATTTTTGATTTTTGAGCTTGTTCCAACAAGTTGTTTACTGTAAGCTCATCAAACAATGATCCCCATAAATATTCTAAAAATATAATATCCTTGTGTTGATGCGTAATTTTATAATTTCCTATTTCTAACGACGTGTATATAATATGTTTAATAGTCAATAGATTCCTCCATTTGGTATACCAATATATATGTTGGTGATTGAATTTAGGTATTTCTTCCAATTCTAGAGTCTCCGCCACATTGACTTCAGGCATTACCTTGGTATATTCATCTGGGATTATACTCTCTGGTTTATATTCAAGTTTTTTTAAAATTTGCCTTTCCACGCGACTAACCGATTCCTCCGCCTTCATTTTATCTTCGCATAAATCACGTAAAGTTTCACGAGCAAGAATTAGTAAAAAGTTGATGTTATAATTATACAAAGTTTGTTGTGTATCTAAATCCCTATTGTCTTTTCCTGTTTCTATCGGAGTCTTTAATGCTGCATAATAGATCTCGGCGCATTGTGTTAAGTTCTTTAAGACCTCTTCTTTGAGCTCCTGACTTAAAACTACAGACGAATAATAAATCCTTTCTAAAAAAGAGGCCAAGGTTCTTAAACGTAATTCGAAATTCCAGCTTAAATTTTCGGTAGAAAAATCTGCAATCAACTGGGATGAATCGGATAACGACCGAAGCGTATTTATTAACGATCCTTCGGTAAAATCAATGCTAAAGTCCTCCGACATCTTTTTAAGGTCTCTCAATTTTAAAGAATTTAACTCCAAACAATTTTTTCTATGCGCTCTGGCTCGAATTGAGATACTTGCGAACGAATATCATCTGTCTCACTGTCCATATTTTTTTTTTCTACCTAGCAACAGTAACCGCAGTTATTATTAATATTTTTACATACTACTTTTGTCATTCTTAAAAAATTATGCATACCTAGGGCAATATTAGAATCAACTTGTTAGTTAATTAAAGTTAAATAAGCATAGACTTGAAGTGTTTATCGGATATCTTCAGAAAGAATAATCACAGTGCATGGTCAACTCTCGATAAAAGAAGATGTATGCATTGTATGACAAATACTATATTTCGTCACATTTGGATAGGATTATCGTAAAAGAAACCCTAGATATGATTCCCATTTGATTTACCGAAATCACGTGAAATTACGTGATTATTGTAGCTCCGATGATAAGTTAATCTTTGCAAATTTTTAAAATTTAATTTTTTTATATATACAATAATTTGATTTTAAAGTTTAAATTTCATACTTTTTAATAATTATTTAATATTTTATAAGAAAATCAATAAAATATTTATTATAACTAATTTGGGGTTCAAAATCAATTTTTTTTTTTTTTTTTTTTTTTTTGTACAATAACAGGCCCACTTTATTGGGCGTAAAAAGGATACATATTACTTTAAATTACAAAGCGATTTTGTGATCTATTTTCTGTATGTGTTTTCCCCTTTTACCTTCTAAGAAAGCCAGTTTGTTAAGTAAACCCTCTATAACTTGTTGTCTCTTGTGGAGAAACTAACATGCCTAGGCTTTATTAGTGTACCTTGAGTATATGTTGAAGATGGTTGTGTTCCCATTGATTATATTAGTGATTAGGCTTGTGTTTATTTCTGCTGCTATATCCTGGATGTGCTGATGCTGGGCTTTTTTCCGTTTCTGTTTTTTCTTTATTAGTATAATGCTATTGGATTCGTTGTTTAGTTTCCATTTGTGAAAGTGGTAGCATCTGTCTTGCCATATATTGAAAGTAATGAATCAGATGCATCTGATTATTCCCTGAACTGTCTCTTCTATTTTGCTTCCCTTTAGCTATGAAGTAATAGGTTGGGTGATATCTTTAGCAATTACACCTCTTATGATGAAGTCCTAGATATTGTGTTTGTTTGCTTTTTCGAGTACTTCAACTTTGATGTTTGTTATTAAAGGTTTTTCCATTCTTGCTGAGATTTCTCTACTGATCATGTTGGCAATAAGATCTTTGACATCTAGACCATATGCTTTATATAGAAAGGAGTGGTTGTAATCTTCTGTATCATGACATCTGAAATATTTACTTGTGATGTATATACTTGGGTACCATTTGTGCAGAGCTGTTATTATTGGAAGTTCTTTGTTCAATAGTTTGAGTGAGTATATACATAGTCTTTGGTTCAAGAGATCGCTGGATAAGGAGTTGATATGGATGGGTGAAGATTGCAGATTGAATTTTCTAGTCTATTTATTTCCTTTGGTTGTCTGTTATAGGTTGAGTTATAATTTATGTGTTTCATACTATTGTTTATTTGATTTGATGTACAGTATTTATGGCTTTCCTTATACTCTATATAACTTAGGTATTGTTGATTTTGTATATTAATAGATTTGTGTTGTGGAGGTGTTCTGTTAGTATTGCAATATGTAATGTGTCATGCTTTTTGAGACATTTTTTGACTAGTTGGTCTACCTGTTTATGGTTTATTGGGATGTTCTCTGCTGTTATTGTATGCAATGTAATATTGAGTCATCTTTGTCTGATTGTGTGAAGAATATAATCTATGATCCTAAGGTATTTGCACTTTTTAGTACTGCAGCTGGTTACTTATTGAATCTTGTTAATGGCAATAGTTGAGTCAGAGAAAATATGATAGGATGTGTTATGTTTGGGGAGATATGTAACTATAGTAATAGTCAGGAGTTCTGTCAGGTTACTGGAGCCTTTGGTCACAATTTGTAGTGAGATTTCTAGTGTTGTGTTGTTCTCGTCTTGCAGGATAATCCTTGTATTGATGTGATTAGGGTCTAATATTGGATTGTATGTATCATCACAATGAATGTTAATACTGGTCAAAGGGAAGAAACTGCTGCTGTTTTCTTTAATTTTAAGAGTGGTTTCTCTTGACAGTCCGATGAGCTTGTTAAGCTGAAGAATGTGCTTTGGCAGTGGATCTATTTCTACTGCTTCTATAGATTGATTTGGGTGAGTCCATCATCTGCTTATACTACTGGGGAATATTTGTATTCTCAGCATTGTTATCCCATTGTTTGTTGATAAGGAATGAGTGGTAGGGGCTACTGGTATTTTCACTAGATCTGTGTTAACCACCTTGATGAAGTATTTATCGCTCCTTTCATCAGTTATATTTGTGTTCTCACATCCTATGCAGATAAATAGTGGCGAGTTATTTGAGTGTTGGTAGTGTTTTATTTTGATATGTGTTGTGTCATTGCTAGTTCTTTTCACAATAATGATCATGTTATTTAGAAAGGTAGTATACTATGCTGATGTACTTGTACTGATAGTTGCTGGTTCAATTTGAGCAAATATATTAAAGTTGTTGGAGTTATTGGAATCTTGAAGAAAGTTGTTTGCAACTAATATGAGTTCACGGTATCAAGATGGCTCTTTTCTTTTAATAAATTTGTTATGTAGGCCACCGATTTGGTGCTAGAGTAGTGATCATATTTTGTATGTACTAATTACTTGTTCGATGTATTTGATCCTGTGCTGTCGCAGGGATGTTTTGTAATCAGAGTACTATTGCTGGTCCGTAATTTGACTGATATGATAGAATTCTTCTTGATTCTCTGACTTCTCGTGGAGGATCACTGTTATCCCATTTTGTTGTAGGTTGTAAAGCACGTTGTGATAGAAATTGTGATCTTTTTTAAAGATAGTAGGGTAGTGTTCTAGGATACTGTCTTTTTGTCAAGCATAACATTAAAGATTTTGTATTCTATTTTGACATATATGTCCTGATGTGGATAAGATATTGTAAAGGTCTTGGAGATTACTTGCATACTTTTGGAGTTGCCTTGTTGCTATTTTATGAACTGTGTAGTAAGTTTTGAGATACATTATAGAATCTGGTGCTGACTATGCTAGGCTAGCTTTGTATTTCATGCTGCATCTGATTCTTCTGTCAATTTTTTCTAGTACTGATAGTGCGAGGACTAGATCGTGGGTCAAGTATTCAATTGTTGAAAAGAAAACATTATTAATGATATATTTATACATTTTGTCAATGCTCGACTTTCTTTCAGTTATACTATAGATGGAGTTTGTTTTCTTCTATATCAGGTTTTTTTGGTGTTTTTTCCCTTTCTTAGGTTAATGTCAGACTCCTAATACTCTGATTGTATTGAGGCTGTTAACCAGTTTGATTAGATGTTTGCCAACTTTGATATTGTCTGTTTGTGATTGATCACTAGAAGTTTGGATTTGTGTGGATTTATAGTTATATCATTCAACTGATAAAATGAGTTGCTGATCTAGATTATGTCAGTGAGTCTGCTTTTGTTTTGCATGATAAAGGTGGTGTTATCATGTAAGCGACTATAGATATATTGATTTTAGATGGAGTTAGGCTGTTTGAGTCTTGTCTGTATATTCATAAAGTGTATTCAGACATTTTATCTATTCTACTAATGAGTGGGTCATAGTAAATTCATTATAAGATTGGAAAGATAGTATCTCCTTGGTCGATTTCTTCTTGTACTTGGCATGGTTCAGTATTGCGAAATAAGTAATAACTTTATTTTCTCTGTTGAGAAGCAGTTGTGGATGATGTTAGTTAGTTTTTTTGGTACTTTGATTTACTGTAAGGCTATACCGAGGTACTCAATGTTAACTATGTTATATGCTTTGCTTATGTCCTAAAAGAGCATATAGCAAGGATTAATGGATTCTCTTGTGTCTTCCAGAATGTTATCAATTATTCTGATAGGTTCTCTGATACTCTGGTGAGGGAGTGCAGCCCAGTTTTGTTCTACTAGAATTCTATGTTCTAATAAGACTTTGGTGAGTTTATTGGTGAGTACTTTTGTAAAGATCTTTTTGATGAATTCGAGGAGAGTAATGGATCAGGTTATGTTGATATCATGTTCTCAGTCTTTGAGTTTGGGAATGGGATATATAATACCTTTCTTCCATTCTGTCATGATCTCTTTTCTGGAAAGTATAATGTTGAAAAAGGCTGTAATATTTGGATAGAGTCCTTGTGTAGATATTTAAAAGCAAGATAAGGGATGTTGGATGGACTGGGTGCTGATTTGTTATTGCATTTGTTGATGATTTCTTGGATTTTATCTGCTGTAAAAGGTTCTGTTATTGGTGTGTACTATTCCTGATCTATGTATCCTTTTGGGAGGTACTCAGTCTCCCAGTCACTGCCAGTGATTTCTTAGATGTCTCTATATCTGATTCATTCTTGAAAGTAGGTGTGAATGGTTGTTTAATTTCTTTAGGGTCTGTGATAACTTCTCTATCTTTTTCCTTGCCTATAATTAGTCTGGTGATTATGATGCTACGTTTAGGTTGACTAAGTAGTGATCTGATCATTTGTTTTTTATCAGTGTGAA